TCCACTTTTTTTTAGGGCTGCACCATTTCATAAAATAAAGTAGTCAGGATTTGTTGTGAATTTCCCCAAATATTCAGCCTGATATATATATATATATATATATATATATATATATATATATATATATATATATATACTGTATATATACTTTATCTCCAGTTGAATTTGAGAATTTTGTTCTTGAAATGTATGCTTCCTTACAGTAAGCTAAGTGGAGCAGATCGATTTCTCATGTCTGTCCGCTAAATGTGAAGCAGCCAGTTAGCTTAGCATAAAGACTGTAAACAACAAAAGGGGGAAACAGAAAGCCTGACTCTTCCCACCAGCACCTCAGTTTTTGTATGAATTAAACAAATGAGATATGTTATGTAGTGAGGTGCTGGGGTGAATTTGTTACCTTTGGACAGAACCGGCTAAACTCACAAAATTGAATTTCAAACATCAACGTGTCATTTGAGGAAACGTTTGTAAAATGATACACAACACATTTAAAATACTTTAATTTTCTGAAACCATTTTGTGGTCTGAATATTTTATTCAGTGTAAAACATCATATAGCTTTAATAAAGAGCTGAAACAAGCGGAAATACAACCAACATGTTCCACAATCAGACAGGATCGAATAAGATAATCTTTCCACCCTAAAGGTGAAACAAAAGGAGCTCTGTGTCGAGGATGTTATTTCTTGTAAATATGTGCTGGATTTAATCGCTCTAACTACCTGATCATTTTTTTGTGATTGTTTTTTTTTACTGGTGAACATAAAGTATTTTGACATTTCTCGACATAAAGCAAAATATCATCAGCGAGTAGGAATTGAGAAATGAAGCTATTCTTGTGTTCAAAAGGTCAAAGGTTACAGGTAGCCTCTGCAGCTAAGTAGTAACGTATATATTCATTTTTTTATGGCAGCAACCCTCCTTTACAAAATATATGGTGAGTTTTTCTGCTGAGGGAGTTTTGTTTTATCGTCACAAGTTGCTTCGGAGAACTAACAGCCGAAATTCACCTTTAGTGTTTTCACGCTCAGTCTAATGTCTGGAGGGAGATTATTTATTCATGCACGCTTTCTTTCATCATGATGAGTCTGACTGAAATGCATGACAAGACTTAAAAGTGTTTTTGGATCATTTTGAACATATTTTTTTTCTCAATCCTCCCTTACTACGACATAAAAGGGAAAGTCTGGGAAACATCAAATGCACACAAACTTCTCCTCATGAGAACTTCTCCAGTTAAACCCAAAGGAAAGAAACGCAGTACATTTTTCTGTACTTTACGTTGACAGTGCTGGATTATAGACAGATCTAGATTTATTTACAGCGACATATGATTGTAGGACGCAGTTTATGAAAGGATGAGTAAGAGAAATAAAATAACCAACATCCCTCTGCAGTACGTACAATTCAAGAGCAATAAACATAATGTTTATTTAAATGTTTGCTTCATCAATGGATACCATGATTGTGTATAATTGTATATTATTTCCCAGTGTTCCATAAACAGACACTATTCTCATAACATTAAATGGAAGATGTGATTATTCTCTCATGTCTTAATTTCCTTTACTTGTAACAAAACCTCAAACAGTTACTTTTTCCGTCAGATAATGATGTGTGAAGAAGTTATCTCCTCTAATCTTGTCTGTGTCTCTCAACAGTACAGACATCAGATATTTGCTGCTCGCTATTGATTTCTCCAAAAAGTGAGTGAACAGGTGATATAAAGTTATTCACAGGGTGCAGCCTGATCTCTGTTTCAGAGGAGGCCTGTGTTATGGAAGTTAACAAAGATTTTTACAGCAGGTTGTGAATACAAAATGCATTAGAGTTTAGTTTCAAACTAATTCACCATCACTCTCTTAAAAACATGACTCTCTTCCAATGCCAGCCAGGTTAGATGGGTGTCCTTCATCCCATATACAAACGTGTCAGCCCAAACTCAATTATAAAGTCAAGAAAGTCACTTACCATCAGAGGAAACGGGCACCAGGAGCACAAACAGCACAAACACACTTGTCCTCAGTGCGTCCATGACTCTCCCTCCTCGATCTATTTCTGTCTGTTCTGTAAAAAACACGCTTTTCTTTCTGCCGTTCTCTACAGGTTGCTTCTGGTTGCTTCACTTTTCATTTTCCGTGATCAGAGGAAGTGGCTAGACTGACTACCTGCCAATGGACTGAGACGTTGGCTGTGTGAACTTCAAAGCACCGTACAACCTTCAACAACCACATAAAGTCTAACTGACTGAGTCATGTTCAACTTTTTCCCCAAATGTGACAAAATCCGTCCTTCCAGGCTAATCTGAACGTCACGTCAAACTCCTCTGACTCTGATATTCCTCTAGATTACAACAAGTTTATATGTACAATCAGCTCACCATGTATTAAATATACCCACATAGTTATTCCCCCTCTTCAACATGCAGTATAAATCAATTACTAAATGATTGTAACACACTAATGTAGTTATAAGCATTTATAAGACACCATTTAAGTGTTTCCTCATGAGTGCTGATACATTTTTAAACATTTACTATCTTTTCTGGGATGCCTTTTGTGACTGTGGCAATTGCAAAACAAATGTACTAATACATGTTTTATAATATACTGTTCATTATGCAACATTACAGCTGTGTTATGCTGTGTTATGAAGCTTACATTACACATTCTCTTCATATACATTTTGGCTGTTGACGAAAACAAAAGTAAACACACATTAATGTCCTTATATCTGCTTACAGCTACATTATAGCGTCTTATAATTTTTTTTAATAAACTGGTTATAAATTCTTTATAGGGGGTTTAAATGATTTCTTATCACAATAGCTTGTATTACAAATGATAACATTAGATGTTCTAGAGCGTATGTAATAGATGACAAAGTAATCTAACTTCAGGTGAATTTTGTTCCTTTACAACCCTAAACATTTAGAGGTGCATTGCATCAGTTTTACAAGGTACTTGCAGGGATGAACAAACTTTAGAAATGCAGCATTATGTCACAGGCCTGTATTGAAAAATGTGGCAGAAAGACTAAACCACAGGTTATCACGTGGAGAGTAGAAATCAGATTGTGTAAGTGGTAAAGTACAAAAATGCGCCTGTTGGTGAATGATTTGAGAAATATAAAGAGTCCATCGGCAGGCTGCAGAAAGATTGATTTGACATTTGCAGCTGGTTAGAGTCTGTTTAAGTAACTGTGTTCAAAAGGTCAAAATATAAATTGAGCCTATGATACTTAAATGTTAGTGTGTGTCTGTGTAAAGGAAGAGGTTACCAAAATGAGACCTCTGCACATTCCAAAGAGTGGTGTCTCAAGTTGCATAATCACACTGATCTGTGACACACTCACAGAGACTATTGAATTTGAGGTAAGTGAAGTCAGGTAAAGTTGCAGGGAGAAGACTTTATTTTGACATTGGCGTGTAAAATGTTCAGGGGCTTCTGTCTGAGGTCTGACCTCTGGGGCCTTTGATTAGATGCCCACAGTCAAGGACTGTAAATCAGACAAATCAAGAGGGTATCATTGTCCTGTGAGGGACAATGAGACACAAGGCGACGAAACTAACTTGAAACTAACAGATAAACGATATGGATACAACACATTTCTATTGTATTGCTTGTAGAATTATCAGAATTAAAAATCTTACTTAAAGGAACAGCGTGTAGCATTTAGGGGGATCTATTGACAGAAATGGAATAAAAAATTAATAAAGTATGTTTTCTTTTGCGTATATTTTACTGAAAATGTACCATAGAATGATAGTCCCAGTGTGCAAAATTTCGGGGGGCCGAGACCTCTTGATTGACACTTCAGACCTCCTGAAAGCCTCAATGGCAAAATTTTGGATCTCAAGACAATCTTCAGATGTTTCACTTGGTTGCAATCTTCAACCTCACCGCTAGATGTCACCAAAACCTACACACGACACCTTTAAATAAAATACAATACTTAATACGGCCTATAAAAAGTAAGAGTACCCATTCTAGTAAAGTGACAAGTGTGACTGACATTTAGTCATGTGTGACATTATTAGATTGTTAAAACTGATGCATCAATGTGAGCAGTATTTTACTGCTGGTCGAGGTGGAGCTATAGTTTTTATTTCTTCACATATAGGCTACAGTTTGTCAGTTTTGTCCCCAGATAAATCTGTTTCTGATTAATGGGTGACAAAATATATTAAATCTGACACAGAAATCTATTTTAATTTTCTGGACTTTGAAACTGTTGCTCTTTTGTGAAATATTAGATAATTTTAGCCTCTTTAGGTCTCGAACAATTATCTAAATGACACCATGTGAGATGTTTACAGTGTTTGGCAGAGCTGCTGACAACTACTAAACATCTGAAACGTGACAAAGAGACACAACTAATTATTAATAGCAAGGCAACACTTTTTGGGAGCCATTGATTTAATGTTTAGATAGATATATAGATAGATAGATAGATATATAGACAGATAGACAGATAGACAGATAGATAGATAGATACTTTATTAATCCCACAAGGGGAAATTTGTTCACTACAGCAGCATTATGATACAGGTAAGCAATCAAAGTAACAGAGTAAAAATATAAAATGTTGAGTATAAAAATGCACAATATATACAATGAAATATAATAATATTAAATTAACTAACTAATCAGTAGTGCAAAGATTTAACAATGTTTTGTATATCATTCGCTCATCAGATGTCTTTTTAATGAAAAATCTTTATCTGAAAGGAAATTATTGACTACTAGTCTGATGTTAAATAACTGATTTGAGTGGAGTAGAAGTATACATTAGCACAAGTACTCAAGTAATGTACCTCTAAATGATATTCTTAAGTACAGTACATGACAAACATCGTGTACTGTTACATCACTGGATAAAGGCACGTCAGTGTCGTGTTTAAACGTGATTTTATCATTTAACTCTTCAATGCATACGTTAATAAGCAGGGCGTGTCTGCTGCTCGTCACGTGACTTCCTGGGTGTTTCTTAAAGCCTCGGTCACATGATCCAGACGTTAGTCTTCTTTCTGTAGCGGCGGTGGTAAAGTGTGAGAAGGAGAGCTAAATTAAACCTCACAGCTAGCATATGCGAACACAACGAGTCTAAACTTGTCACCAGAAACGTAAGTGTTTTTTTTTTTGGAGAACTGTGCTTTGTCATCTCAACAAATCAGTGCGCATGACTTTTCTTCTCTGCTTGTTGTTGTTACGCTAACGTTAGCTGCACTAGCATAACTAAGCTAGCGTTAGCTAACTGACCGCGTCTCTTGTTGCTGTGATTTAAACCCTCACGAGCAGCCGGAGACCAACCGGAGCAACATGACGCAGATCCGTGGTGTCCAGCCGTGGTGCCTGAGAGTAACGTTGCACTTGATTTTAGGTGAGTATCCTTCCGGTTTTACGCTTTATCTGAACATTAACCACTATAACTATAACGTTACCGAAGGTCACAGATGACCTGCCCTCGACTAACGGTACAACGCCTGCACTGTTAGTATAAAAGCGACAGTTCCTGTGTTTTCTGACGATTCAATTTGTCGTGACTCCACTTGAATGTAGGCTATTGTAGCAGTTTGTGTGTCAGACATACACGCGTTTAACTTGTGAGTTTGGGTTGCTTGGCCATGAACATGCTGCCCTCGCGTGTCTCCGCGCAATTTAGCGTCAATCAAACTGAGGTTCCTCAGAGGAAACTTCTCACTTTCCTCCATCACTACCTGTCCTAGTGGGAGAGACCAGGGGGAAGAATGTAACGTTAGTAGAGAAACAAGAGGATGTTTGAGTCGGTTTCTATTATCTATTTGCAAACTTGAGGTGTGTTATTGATACTGGTGGAATGTAATAAATGCATAAAACTCAAGTAATGTATGTAAATACAGTGTTGAGGTAATTGTACTTTAAGTATTTTAAAGACAGGTCTTAAGCTGTATAAAACTACATGTTGACTGTTTACTCTGATTTTGAGTAGCGACTTGATTTGTGTCCACGTTTTTACATACAAAAGTTCAACTACCTCATTGATTATTATAATAAATAACATCTACTCCTTCCCCCTCATTGAAACCTCCAGAATCTATGAATAAGTATAGTTCAGTTCAACGGTTGGAGACAAAATGTCTTCTACATCACTGACAAATGTATTCTCTGTGTATGTGAGCCGGAGGTTCCAGTTTCCAAATCATTCTTGTGTAAGTTTCATATTGGACCATTAATTGACCTCAAAAACTCAGAGTTAAGGTGATTATAGGGAAAGCTTCAGGAGATGAAGGTGAACACATTCTTCTAGTATCAAACTCTGCACACATTATTCTGCACAGTGAAACAAACACTCAAGTGAAGTACAAAAAGGAAACTAGTTTTGGGGTCTTTATTGCTGCTGCAACATCCTTTAGATTTTTGTGGCAAATATTATACTTGATGAAACTTGTAACTATTTGTTTTATTAGTTGATTGACAGAAAAATAATCTGCAGTCAGTGTGGTGTGTTGTATGGCTCTCAGATAAAGGATCACTGGTTTAATGTGCTTCCTGTCACTTCCTGTGTGTGTGTGTTTGATAAGGAAGAAGTAAGCCATAGTCGTGTGATAATAAAGCGGTAAACTACTTCGAAAAAAACACCAGTCACAAGCCTGGTGACTGCAAGCCTCAAAGCTCTGGTGTCGGATATAACATGACTTGCTAGAGTATTTTTACACTTGTGTTAATGCTCTGAATACTTGTTTTACCTGATTAATGTAGTCTCATCTTAACCAGATCTAGAGTAAGTAAGTAAACATTTTTAGATGCAAATGGAAAGAAATCTTAATGTTGAATTAAAATGTCATCACTTTTGTAGTGACATCTTGTAATCAAAATTGGCCCGTCCCACAGATCAAAACCTGATGTGCCTAAACCAGTTACTACTTGACAATTCAAAAGTTTATTTTTGTTGGTTAAACTCATATGTATTTAATATTGACCACCTTGCATCTCTGTAATACTAGACTCACAACTGAACACTTTTTGCAGCTGCTGTCCTGCACCAGGGTTTAGCTACAGTAGCCCCGCCCACAACTGCCCCGCCCACTGCTGCGCCGCACAAAGACCCTGGCAGACCCGAGAAAGGAAACTACGTGGTCACCAGAAGCAACGGCACTGCCTGTTTACTGGCATCCATGGGTCTCCAGCTCAACATCACCTTCAACTCTGTCTCCCAAAATAAGGTGCCTAAATATAAACCCCCAAACAGTTGTCTGAATTCAGTTGGAGCTATAAATACAGACACATTAACAAGTTTGAAATGCTAAATGTTAGCTCCTTGTGGTTTACAGACTGTGCAGGAGGTTGTGAACCTTCAGCCCAACATGACGAAGCCCTCTGGATCATGTGACTCGGACAGAGCCTCCCTGCTGCTCATGACTGATGCAGAGAAGACCAACCTCACCTTCATCTTCACTCTGGTAAGTTACTGTACTGCTTTCTCATTTCGGGCCACCTCAATTCCTCGCTCCTCCGATCTTGACGCATTCCTAAAATGCATCTCGGGGGAGCGAGATGAGAGAGGACCGAGGAGGCTTGTTGGAGGAGCTATGAGCGAGGAAACACCGGTGTATCCTTTGCGAAAGTGTTTTCGGTACATGTAAACAAACAAGAGGCGTGGCACACACAGAGGTAATGATCTCAAACCCCGGCTGGAATCTACAAATGCAACATTTCCTTTTTGTAATCATAAATAGTATTTATTTTAAGATGATCAAATACGCCATTCACCTGATACTTATGTTTTTATACTGAATGTAGCTTCATCCACTTCAACTGCTATAATTCTGATGTGATGATTACAGGTGCAAAAAGCTCCGAACGTGAAATTATGTCAGCAATAACATTCTCTTAAATTCAGCACTAATTTATTGTAGTTGTCGTATAGACAGGACTGTTTGTGTATATAATATATATCAATAATTCATATATAAGATGTCACTCTTAATGTGTACTGTACTTTTCATACAAACATTTGTAGTTTAAAATGAAGGTCTGAGGTGAGGATGTCTCATTTGTTAAATCTGTTTCCTTGCCTCCTAGTCTCTCCCTCGCCTCCTCCACTCCCCCCTCATGTACTTCATGAAGTTGCCTCTAGATGGCAGCTGGCGCTCGCGGTAACCTCGCTTTACTGCAACGTAACTGACTGACGTCTTGCTGTTTCTCTCCAGAATGTCACGTCCAACAAGTACCACCTGAGTGAAGTGTCTCTGTCGGCAGACTGGCCTGACATGAAAGGTGAGTGCGTTTGACCTGTCCGTTTCTATGGTAACTACCCTTTAATCAGGTTGAATGAGCACGTGTCCAACTGATCCTGTGATGCGCCTCAGTGTTTGTAGTGTAATCTGTGTTTTTATTGTTTGGCACCACGTATACAAACGCATACTCACTCTACCGTGTCAGTGAGTAATAAATTACTTTTATTTTTAGTGCCTTTCAGGAAACAAGAGGTGTAACATTGTCACTGTTTTAACCCCTGAGCTACAGGGTTGTGTTGATGAATATTTAAATTGACTTCACTAGATGACAATTCCAGTTAACTGAGCAAACGAAGATGTAATTGATAGTGTGGCATGTAAACGAGCACAATACGGCTTTCAGAGGCTGCTAAATGTTTAGTTCCTGTTCTGATACAGACACATTCAGTAGGAAACACTCTAACTCTTCCTCAGTGTTTAGTCTCCTGCTGCAGTACTTTGTTCTGTCTCAAACTTTAACATTTTACAGCATTTTGCTCACAACATGAATTTCATTCTTTTATTGGTTATGCTAATTAGCTAGAGTATTGCATTGCTCTGTTTTCAATTAGCTCTTTTGTAGTGGTTCTTCTATTTTTTATTTATTTATTTTTTATTTTTATTTTTTTTTTTTAAATGGATGCAATTGCTGTTGGGATCATCACGTCTTGAACAAAGCAGCTGCCTTTAAATTCTCTATGCAGTGTGGTGAAATCTTTATTTAATCCTGTCTACCGGCATCCTTTTCTAAAGTTTAAAAAAAAAAAAAAAAAAAAATCTTTATCCATTTAAATCTGTTCTCTTCTCATTTTGTACCTCGTCTGTGTTACTTTTACTTGACTTCTCTTCCTCCTGTAATCACTCCCCTGCTACAGAACCTCTATCGGCCAATAACCGCAGTCTGGACTACCTGCGGGGCACCTTTGGGTTCTCGTACATGTGCCACGAGGAGCAAACTCTGAGTGTGGCCCCGGATTTCTCCATCAACACCTTCCAGTTGCAGGTGCAGCCCTTCGGCCTCACCGGAGATCAGTTTGGAGCAGGTAAACACTCCGGTCTAGTAGAATTGATAGAAAGTGAATCTGCCGTATCACTTTAATTTGTCCCCTCTGGTGTTTTCGCTCCCTCAGCTGAGGAATGCCAGTTGGATCAAGATGACATGCTGATCCCCATCATAGTCGGCGCCGCTTTAGCCGGTCTCGTCCTCATCGTGCTGTTGGCTTACCTCATTGGCAGGAAGAGGAGCCACGCTGGCTACCAGACCATCTGAGGTCACTCATGTTCCCAGAGGCCAGAGCGTGCTATCCTTAAGATTAACCACTGTTTTATGAGACTTAACCCCCCCTCTATCCTGTCATCCTCCCTCTGTCTGTGTGTGTGTGCTGTTCTTTGCCCTCATCAGTAACACTAGTCATTATCACTTTGTGGAGGTTGATGTGCTCTTTCTGAACTGATGAAAGAAAAACCTACCGGTACGACATGAGGCAGGGGATGGATGTTGAGCAGAGGGTCCATGAGAGTTCTCACATTGTGTTGTACTATTTATGATTTCTGTCAAAGAAATTTTGAGGGATTGTGTGATTTTGAGGGAAAGCTACTGTAGCTTTTCTTACTGTTCATCTGCTTTGGGGCGGCCATTTTTTTTTCTTTTTTTTTTTTTTGTGATCTTCCCCCGAAATGAGGTTTATTTATAAAGGGAATATTTTTTGCTGTCACTTAATCCACTTCAGACGGTGTTTCTTTTATTCAGGCAACTCAACATTTAGCCCAAGTTTGCAGATTTTATGTTAACATACTAAAATCGCAGTAACCTAATCTTAAAAAGGACATGCGAGGAGTAGTTGAGATGCATTTTTGAATTAATTTTGTTCCTTAGATTACTGATAACATGTCCCGTTATTTCCCTCTTAAAGGTACACAACTTGTTTTGTGTGGAGACTGCACAAGCTAAAGTTTTCATCTTTGTACGATAACTGTTTTCTTTTTTACTTAATTTAAAAGAATAATTTAACACTTTGTGAAATGGGCTCATTCGATTTCTTTCTGAGTTGGATGAGAAGATGAATGCCACGCTTAAGATAGTCAGCTAACCGCTAGCTTAGCACAAAGACTGGAAAGATAAAAGAAATCAGCCTGCCAGCAGCTCTAAAAATGACGAGTTTAAAACATTGGACATGTAACCCCCCAGAAAACAACAAGGCAACATGTTTGCAAACCAGCTTTAATGTGTTTATTGGTGAGCTTCAGGGGGTGCTGGTTGGCATATATATAAATTTTCTCATTTTTTTTTTTTTACCTACCTTTGACAGAGCCATGCTAGCTTGTTTCCAGTCTTCATGCTAAGATAACTGTCTCCTGGCTCTATTTTCAGACATGAGTGGCTTGAATCTTATCTAACTCTGGGCACAAATGTGGATTTCCCAACATGTCAAACTATTTGATGAGGGATAGTAGCCACTCTTTTGGAGTCTGTTACAATGTTCCAACAGGAGTTGCAATCAATCTGAAAAACACTTCAGGTTGCTTTGGTGGATGAACAAAGCTCAGGACATCTCTGTAAGAGTGTAATAGAAGTATTCAAGTCCACTGGGTGTTTTTTTTTTTTTTTTTTTTTCTTTTCCCCCTCCCCTGAATATGGCCCCACTTGGGATTTTGTCTTGCAGAAGGGAAGAAGTTGCAGTAAAGTTATCTCAAATAGCCCCCAGTAAGGACTAAAGTGGCCAAAATAATGTGGTCAGTGCCTTCCCAGCTGCATAGATGGGATTAAAGTAAAGCCAATACCACAGAGGTACTCGCTCACTGATGCTGTGCTGCCATGCCTGGGATGCTGTCTTTGTGTCTCACATAGCCTTCATGTACTGTTACTACCATACATTGTTTGATATTGTAGCAGAAAGTGCAGATGTCTGTTTTTTTTTTTTATAGTTTTTTTTTTTTTAATGTTTTTATCCTGTGATCTAAATGTCCATGTAGTGATTTTAATTTATTAGTTTGAGCTGTTTTCTAAAGGAGGGGTCAATAAAAGTGAATGAACGAGACTTTGACTGTTTGTTTTGCCGTCACAGTTCATCAGCTGGCAAACCTCTTCCTGGTTTGTTTGGAAGTCTTAGAAGTATAGCTACACTATTTTAGAATAATTGTGATATTGAATTCTGGAAATGCATTGTAAATTCAGATTTTATTCATGTATCAAATACTTAATTACATTAATATAGAATAAATGTACACTTTTTTTAAATAGTAGATGCACTTTTATTGTGATGGGTTTTACATCCTCCAGATGTAAATCACTTTAATTTAATGACTGAAATGAAAGCCAGCATGGGACAGCTTATTTATTACTGTAGTTTTATCACATCTCTGCTCAGTTTGTCTGTAAAAGCAACGTGAGGGAAGGTTGTCCAAAGGTGTTTGACTGTGAAGGATCTTGGCTTGCTTGGCGCCCCATCGTACCCAGAATGTAACATTGAAATTTGTTTGGCAGATGCAGTTTTGAGGTAAGCTAGATCACAGTAAAGATTAGACCAAAGTATTAGGTTTCTGTAAACTATAAAAAGTGAAACAAAGTTCTGTAAATTAGAACTTCTGATTTTACTTGAGAAAGATAAATGGAAGGTTTGAACATTTTCACTACGAGATGTATTAATTCCCTTTTTCCCCTCCATAAAATACAGATAAAACGGAATTTAAGTTGTTTCACTCCCATACTACTGCAAAGTAATACTTCTATAGCGCAAGTCATAAAAACGTGGCGGATTTAAATATATTTGACAAAGTATCAGGTTTTATGATCTTTATCTATAGCTGACATTTTCTCCAGAACATGAGCAAAAGACATGGTAAAACATCCTTTATAGTGAACTATCTGAAAATGACAAGTCAAGCCAGCAGCAGTCCATCTGGTAGTAGATAATTGTTCTCGATAGTAACAGTTGTTAGTCTTACACTATGAACGCTGCCAGTCAAATGGTGGATCCAAAACTTTATGGCCTTCCAGATTCTTCCTCCAGTATTCGTTGTCTACGTTTCTCTCTGAGTTTATCAATCGTTGCCATTGACAGGCTCCCAGGTTCTGTAAAGATTTTCTGTAAACAGAGTTTGAGAGAATGTCACCAAACTGAAGGTTCAGGATTATCCCTCTTAAGACATTTACACAGCTACACGCCAAGCTAGAACTCAAAATAAGCTTCACGTAAACACCTCATCCATGATAAACTGGCTCTTTATAAATGAGGATACTATTCCAGGGGTGGATTGAATCTGTCATCTGCAAAAATTATGACATCAGTATATTCAAATCTGTATACTTTTGGTAAATCTATTCTTCTCTGTGCAAACTGTCAAAGATTTTTTTCATGAAAAGATGCTCTACTCTTCTGTTAAGGAGCATTTTCTATCACTGTATTTTGACATTTTAGGACATCAGTCAGGACATCATTTTGACATCAGTCAGTGAATTATCAAGTTTATCGATTTAATAACTTAACGATTAATTCTTTAAGTAATTTTTCAAAGAAAAAAATGACAGAAATGTGTTGATTCCAGCCTATCAAATGTAGATTCCTTGCTTTTTGTCTTGTAATGATAGTAAACTATGTATTTGGGTTTACATTATGAAATATCTGGCTGAAAAATCTATAATGAAAAAACTCATTAGTTGCAGCCCTACGGTGCTTAAATGCAGGTTGACCTTTTTGCAAAGGTTGCTTTCCTTTCTCCTCGCACCTGCATGAAGGTGTGGCAGTCCAGAGTGAAAGCTCCACTGGTGATTTGTTTGAAGCACTCGCACACGTCGGTCAAAGAGCGAGCTCTAAGGATCTCCGGCTGGTGGTGAATAATAAGAGTCAGAGCAGCACGGAAAAGAACCTTGGAGCCCTCGTAGAAAAGACAATCCCAAACTCGCAAAACTGTCTGCAAGAAACAAGAAACAAAATAGATGTCTGAAAAACATTAACTCCTCCCTTGAATCTACCATTAAACCCCAACTTTTCCACACCTCTATTGGGAGTATGTCAATGTAGAGGCAGATGAACCAACGTGACACCACCAGTGTCCATATGCCGGGAAACTGGGCCATGAGCTGTCCTATTGCAGGAGCTTTCTCCTTCACCAGCTCCCCGAGAACCTCCTGGTCCGTCTTCAGGCCCATCATGGTCGGGCTGTAGAAGTCTACAATATCCACAGAGTAGAGGAGTTTATGAGTGCAGTAGTGATACTTGCTGTGAACTTTTTTTTTTGTATCTCTGAAGATCAAATCTAAATGTTTCACATTGCTGTGTTTGTCCAGAACTTTTTGCAAGAATGAATTTTCTATGTGGAGTGCCAGAAGGCTTCAATGTGTGTCCACTAGACTAGTCTTTTATATTACAACTAGAGGTTTTAATGAGCAAGCACAATTATAGTCATTATTACAAATATTGTAACTGCCTTAACTACCTTAATATCTATTTAAGACATCAATGACCCACACCCTGGTCCAAGTGGACCATAATAAAATGCAGCTTTTGGTTCAAAGAAGTAACAAAAGGATCACTTTACAGCAAAAGCAAATAGGTTACATTTGAATAAAGAGTAATTTAGCTGACATAAGATCTTTCTTCCCCTTATAAACAGGAACGTATGCAAACATTTGTTGCAGGTGGGTTAAATGACTGCATTGCACCGCTCTCAGTTCTGCCTAAAAGTGCTCACGTTCAGTATGCTGATGCCTGAGCTTTAATTGGAGCAAAGCAAAAAAACGCATCACTGCTCATCATGCTACCAAATTATGCCTCTGGGTGAGCCCATCAACTTTCTTGCTTAACCTCTGTAACTGAGCACTGCTGCATTATTTTGTCGTACATACTTTATATTTGAGTATATTTGCGTTTTTTCAATGTCTAAGTCTTTGTTTTATTGCTTTAATTTACCTTTTTTCTATAGTTTTGATTGAAGAAAGGCCCTGCACCACCTTGGTTCACCAACACAGCTGTTTTCACTTACATTGTCTCTTCTCAGGACTTTGCTTGACATCTCCCTCATGTTCTGTTGCAGCTGTGAGTGCTGGACAACACACACCTGTACCATTTTTATTGGTACATTGACTTTGGTTACCTTGTAATTCCAGAGACACCGCCTTCAACCTGAGCAGACCTCTAATCACAGACTAACCAAGAAACACCTGTATGGGTGTGCAGGGCCCTTAATTGTGTGTGTGAGCACTTAAAAAAAAAAACTCTACCTGGGAGCATTCTGCCCAACAATGCATCCATGAGCCAGAAGGACTTCTCTTCATCTTTGGTGATGATCATGAGGTAGCCTGCAATGAAGTTCATGCCCTGACATGAACAGAGACAGCGGTGATCTGACTGTGAGCCTGGCATAAGTTACTGTAGGTATGCAAAGACATGACAGAATATATCCAGCAACATATTTCTAAAAGTTGAATAAAGGTTGTCATTTTGTCACCAATATATTGTCAAAATAGTTGTAATGACATACTTGCATGTCTGGGAAAACGTGTAACTGTACACCTTTCATTTTTACAATTAGTAAAACCATTGACATCCTCTGCCTTTATTTGGTTCAAAGAGGTTGCAAAATATGACTTTCAATTTAAATTGAATGATTAGGTTTGCTGTACAGGACTCTCGCAGGGAATAGTGAATATTGATCCATTCAGAGAAAACCCTTCACATGTGTTTGAATGAATAAGTGGACTAGCCAGTCCTGTTCTTTAAGCAAACAGATGCTATGTTAAGGGTGGGGAAAAGAAAGTGTTTTGTTCACCTGACAGTATCCCACTTCCGTATTATGGTGTCCGTAGGCCAGCAGCACGTTGTACAGAGCCCTCTGCAGGCTCGGTTCTGCTCTGCTTTGGAAGAGGACGTTGTCAGGAAAGGTCCTATGCATGTCTGCCAAAAATAACAAGACAAGAATTGTTCGACTATGATATGAACCTGTGTGTTGATACAAGTTAAGGTGTGAATGTAGATTGTAGTGGGGGCGGGGAGACGGGCTGAGGCTTTTTTTTCACAGCAGACATCCTGACTTTTCATGGCAGGAAACTTACAGCTGCTATTAATAACATTCATGATGACTCTGTTGTATTCAAGTGTCTCCGTACTGACAGTGACAGTGTGACGGTGAGCCAGCATGCACAACACCAGGACCCTGAAACTGAAGCAGCCGAATGGAACTTAGTCATCATTAATTTGACTTGTTGACAAAATGTCTTCTGTGTAAAATGCCTGTTGTTGCACCTGTGTGAATGGTCTCCTTCAGCTTGGTGTCGTGCTCCATGGCCAGCACAGACTGGTAATAACCCGGGTTGCTCTCCAGTCGGTCCTGTGCACCGCTGGCTGCCATCCAAATCTTGGCACGGTGCTCATTGGGCACGCCTTTACGCACGTACCTTTTCACTTCCAGAACAGATTTTATAATTAACATCACATAACTAGAGAGAGCGCCACAAAGGCACCAGAAACTAAGGTATGTTTGCTGCTTGTACCTGTCAAGTTCTTCTCAACATGTGGTTTCTCCTGAAGGAGCTTGGACCATCTCATGGACCGCCTGTTGAGGACAGCTACATACTCATTCATCATCTCCTTGTAGGGTTCGAAATCGTGACGTCTCTCAAAGCCATAGGGGTCGATCCTGCTGAGGCAAATCAACACAGTCCAGTACCAATGTACAAATGAATGACTACTATGCACAAAGCACAACTGTGAAGAAGCAGCTGACAGCTGGGGTCACTTTCCTCCCCACCCTTCTCTCCCGCTCCTATTCCCTGATGACAGACACTACAACAGACTCCAAGGGGTTGGGTTTCTGTAGTGGGGAGATCAAATGCCCCAGCTGGATGAATACTCCGTTTTAAATTACTTTCAAGTGAGATTAGTGACAAGGAGCAACATTCAAGCTCAAAAAAATAACCTCACAAAATGTATTTTCCACAAAACAACTCTTAGCTATGATATTTGACTGAGTTTGGTAGTTGGCTTTTAATAACAGCTTTACATGTAACACAAAAAGTGCAAATACAAAGAGTTGACGAGGAAAGAAGCTGATGCAAATAACTGATAGTCAAGAATGCATTTAACAACCGTTACTAAAAGAAAGACATATACAGTCAGAGTGTTCACCACATCAACATGAAGCTCACCTTTCACTGGCATCATTACATGTAAGAGGTTCAGAAGTCTTTCCTTTCATTTCCATTGTGTGTTGTGCTGCAGGTAGTAGTCCACCGAGGCGATAAACAACCGGCACAGAGGAGATTATTTCATTTTGTTTCCTTGGAAAGGATCTGGCTGCTGTCAAGGTAAATAACTCACCTTACAGACTTCTCTGAGAGGAGGGGCTAGTTGAAGCAACACCCAGGTGAGATCCACAGGTATGGGCTTCATTTGCATGCAAAACAATCGGAGGAACAGAAACAGTAATGTTTGATTGTATATGTCCCCTTGCATATTACTGTCCATGATTTATGTAGATGGCGAAACATAATTTCCTTGTCAGGATTTTACAAACGGAGAACAAATCCCTCCTCTCTTCAATCCCACTTGAGAAATATGTAACTATTAAAAGAATACCTATTTGTTCAGCAGATTAAACATTTTCTGTACGTTTCATCTCACGTGATCAACATGGTATTTGAAATCCGTCTCCACATTGTCAGTAATATTATCAAAAAGTAAAAAAAAAAATCCATTTTAGAATTCTCATTTAAATGTGTTTAAAGTGACTATAATCATTATTTTCATATCAATGTTTTTGCTGCCCCCAAGTGGCTGAAAATCAGCCAACCCCCCATAAAAACATTGAAACTGTAGAATATAAACTTACTGTCAGATTGTTATATCCACCAGATTCCCAGAGAGGATACTGAGGACATGCTTTTGTTGTCCGTAAAGGATATGGCCACGTGTTTCATGTTTGTCTTTGAGAACACTGAAACAGGTTTAGCTTGTTGTAATTATTCCCTCTGTTCACACTCGCCATTAAAGAAACCTGGCGAATGCACTTCTAGTGCAAGGGGTGGGTGCTTGGGACACTGACCTTTGTTTTTTAAGACTCAAGAAAAAATATTCTTTCAATGGAAGCTGCAGTTCTCCCTCTTTTTCTGTCATTCTCAATGGTATATACAACATAAAATCTGTTTTTAAAGTATTTTTTGCACCTTCATTCAATGGCAATAATGGAGAGATTAAAGGAAACTAAAGAAAGAAAAAACAAACAAAGCTCATCATCTTTTTGAAATTGAGAATGTTGTGGTTCATGATTGGGGTCTTAACTCCTAAAATAAACTTTTATACTGGCTACAAGTAGTCGTGGTCTTTTTCAGAGGATGTCACAGCATGTAGATTCATAGTGGCACAAATATCACTTGACCTGCGTTGTGTTAGGAAGTAGGATGAGGAATGAACATGTTACACGACCATTGTCGTCCAATACAGTACCTCTGATGTGACATTGTAAAGTTGCAAAACAGGGAACTAACAACATAGTGAACCATGTGTAACTGTTCATGGTGTTTGTTGTCCAAACAAAAGTTATCAAATTGACCAGAATACCACATGCAAGTACTAAAAAACATCTTGTTAAATATTCTTTTATTATTAACAATCAACAACATGGAGGGATATTCTGGGAAAAAAAGAAGAAATATTAAAGCTTTCTTGAACACATTCAGATCAGTATGGTCATACATCTTTTTTACACTCTGGCAACCACAACTCTGCTTTACAAACACACTGTGGTCTGAGCAGCTATTCTGTTCTGTAACTGATGGAAAATGTCCCTCAGCTAGCTGATCAACAAAAGAACAATTTGCGTGTATGATTATGGAAAAACTCATGCTTTATTCATCTTTCTTAAATGAACAATATACTTAGGCTGCTTACATGATGCATTAACAATATATTATAACTTTCACTACCTTCAGTAACACTGGACAGCTGGGCTTGTACGAAATATAAATATTGAACAGACAGATATTTATTCTTAAGGCTTACTTTTTTGTCCGGTTGTTGCCCTCTTTAGTGTCCTGGCTTCTGAACTTAAGGCTTCGCACTGCCAGAACATACAGATATGTGTCATGCAATCCTACGGCTCTGTAATTCCTTCACTTTCAATTTCATTTAAATGCCGCTGAATTGTCACATTTATGTCGCAGAGGGACAACAACTCTGTCCTCAACAGTTCAAAAGAAATGATCTTTTGAAAAGCATAATTGTGGCGCTGTGGACTCCGTCACTTGTAGGATTCAAGACCAACTCCCAACTGAGTTCAACCTGACAAATGAATACCACCAACCGACATCATTTTTCTAAATTAAAACACTGCCTTTACGATTGTGATAATGGTTTGTGAAACCAGCCCGAGGGGATGTAAAAAGTCTTTAACATGCTTTCTATGAGAAGCTCACAATTCCATGATTTGACAGATCCACCTAACAATTAAACCAACAGCATATCATCCACTATCTTAGCATTTACTGTACATAAAAGAATCATCTTCTGCATTTATAAATTGAATGTATTTATATTATTCTTCTTATAGCTCTCTTTGTAAACTGTCCCAATAGATACAGTATGTACAGTAAAAACTGCAACAGTTCTGCTGGTGCTGGTGTCGTGAGCACTCTGTCCCGGAGTTAGAGTAAGACATGGGATCTTTGCACGGTCACTCAGAGCTTCATATAACAAAACAAAGCTGACGAGGGAGAGTCTTAAAACACAGTTTTTTTTGCCTCTTCAGTCCCTTTAGAGCGCACACAGCCAGTGAGCCTCCTCTCAGTGCCGTGTCCATCCTGGTGCTGCTCCTCCTGGAGCAGAGCAGAGGGACGTCCAGGATGCTGAGAATCCGACAGGAGAGACGACGGTGAAACCGGCGATGTCCGTATGACGCCTCAAAAAAAATGTGGCCACTTGTTCTTATAGTTTTTACTCGGCTCCCTGAAAGGTGGTGTCCTGACAGTTTCAAGTGCTTCTGTTTTCTCTCTGAAGTCTACAATGTTCACTGTTTTTTCTTTGTACAAGTCTTTAAAAAAAAACTATGAAGTCACTGTAAAAGAAACAAGGTTCTGGCTTTCCAGATTTGGGATTGGATTTAGAGAGTTTTGCGTTTCGATCCTGTTACAATTGGTCGGGCGAATTCCACAAAATCATCTATAAGGACTGGCCATGCCCCTGAGAAAGAAACAGCAAGATATCATGAGTGACACATTGATTTGAATAGGAAAGTTCATATTCACAGCATTACAGAGAAAGCGGCTCATCTGTCATCCAAAACTCACCTTCCTCATCATAGTTTGACATATCGTCTGCAATCATGTTCCCAAAGTCCAGCAATAGGTTCCATGTGTCCTTTGGGATGGATCGTTTATGGTGTTCCTGTAATGGACGAGCGCTGGTCAACATATTGGTACATACATGGTTTTATGCAGCTTGTATTAATTGTTTTCCATCTCTAAAACCAAACACCGTAGACATTTTTGGCCATTATATATCGCCATAGTGTGAATCACTGATTCTGGTTCTGGAGTCTTGCAGGTTTTAATTCCAACCAAACACCATTTGTTTACACTCGCTGACCGAGTCATCAAGATGTAATAAAAGCCGGCACACAGTCTCAGCGTCTCAGCCAAGTTCCCCGTCACCGGGCCAAATACATTTCAATGAGGGATGCACCAATGCAACTTTTCAAATAAAGATATTTGCCCCCACCCCCCAATTTAAACTCTGTATTCCTAACTGTGCAGAACTCATTGGTCTTGCTTGTATGTAAGGTACCATGAAGCTAGGGATTACTGCGGCCATAAAAACCATGGTCTGAGATGACTCCATGGATGTAACTAATGAAGAAATCCTAATTTGACTTTGACTCACCAAAAGGAATCTGTTCCAAAGATCAAGGAACTTAAACCGTCCCAACAGAACCAGGTTCCAGTAGGCTACAGCCATCTCCAAATCTGCACACAGACAAAAAAGCACAACACTTCATTCCAACCGTTTGTAATTCAGTCACACCGTTCAGCAAGCTGTTGTTGTCGTTTTTATCACTCTTCTTACCTAGACCCTTCTGTCCAGGATTTTTGGCAAAGTTAAAGGTGAACTGGTAGAAGTCCTTGAACTTCCCACTATCTTTGAGCTCCTGCTCTAATCTCGACAAGAGGGCCTTCAGCTTTTCTGGGCTGTCACACCTAGAGAATTTAGACAATTCAAGCAATAAATAAACAACAAAAACTCTAATTGAATAAACACAAGCGACCCAACCAGTTGCAACATGTTTTTCTTTATGCTCGTGACAAATTGGCTAAAGTTAACTTTGACACATGAACCTTTAAAAGTTAAAACACAGCAGCTCTTCCACCGAGTCATTCCACGAAGACACAGAATACTCAAGCCGTGGTTGAGTGGCTCTATATATAGACAACCTTCCCTCCCTGGAGCAACGCTAACAGAACCACCATGTGAAGATACTTCGGGCACAGTGTTTGTGTCCCACTTTGGACCGTGTCTCACGCTGTTGTTGTCAACACTCACCCCAACTCCGTCATTCCATCCAGAAACTCCTTCTTGCTGAACTCGCACTGAGTGGCAGCACGAAACTTCCACGCAACGACGAGCACGCTGATACTGGCCGGATCCAGTGAGAGGTCATCACAAAACTGCTGGATCCCATCAATGCCAATCTTATTTTCATCCTGGGGATCTATTAAGGGGGAAATAACAGGGGGAAGCAACTCTATTCTCGTAAATTTTTCATGATACGGCACAAGAGTCCCACTTACCTTTGTAGCGATTGTAGAGCTGCTCCAGCCTTTTCCGGTCTACTGACGTTTTCATGGATTCCTTACAGTAGAGGTCTGGATTCTGAAAGTAGTTGTCGGTCGCAACTTCTAGTTTCCAATCATTCTGTGTGAGGCAGTACACAGCTGTCTTCTCCCCAGCCTGTGTGAAGGACATGAACTGCCGTACCTTGTCCCTCTGCGAAGACTTCAGCTTATGCTGTGTAAGTACAGGACAAGGGCTGTCAGACACGGGTGCGATCAGACTGGGGAACACCGACAACAACACGCAAACACAGACTGAAACACAGACAATAACACACAGCGAGACGCACACATCTACAGGCATTCAGGCGACAGCAAACACTGCGAGACACTCAGAAACACTCATATATCAAAAGGTTAGTCTGTCACACTGACGCACACACATTATCGGTGCCGAGCCAAGACGCAGTGCTGGTAATTATGTCCTATCCAAAAAGCAACATGGGCTTTTCTGAAGGGGGATGTTGTGGATTCTCACAGCACATGCTGTACTCAGGAGGGCCCCTCAGATAACTACAGTCATAGATGTAACATGAGTAGGGAAACGGGATGCCATCACCCGGACCGAGATGTGCAACCAGTCTGGAGTGGAACACAAGCACCATGCCAGAAATACACAGCAATATTAATATAATATTAAAATTTAAGCATATTCAGAATATAGTATCATTCAACTGTAACGCAGCTATTAAAGACCAGAAACAACAGTTAGCTATAAAGTTATAGTCATACTTTAACCTCATTCACGATGATTTCTGGTTTCCTAACACTATATAGATGTTATGCTTAGTTGATTCAATTAGTTGATTGACAACAGCTGCTCAAAATGTTAGGATTTGGTTATTTTCTTAGTCTTCAATGACAGTCAAATGAATATCTCTGAGGTTTGGACTGTCGATTGGACAAAACCAACTATTTGAAGACATCGCATTGGGCTCTGGGAAACTGTGATGAGCACTTGTTTACTATTTAACTAACGATCGACAACCCTGATAGATAAATCACAAATCACCACGCTACCTCCTCACACCGGCTGCACTATGCTGAAGAGTAGCATTTCCTGAAACCGGAGACTGAAACTCTGCGAGTGCATCAGGCTGATATCGACTCCACCAGCCGGTTACCAACGTATGTTATTAACAACGACATGAAGGCAAAGGTCTGTTCAGTCTGCACGGATCACTGTGCGACCAGAAGGGTGACGATAGGTTAGCATTGTCTACATTCCACCAGCTAGTAACTTATACTGGCTAATGCTAGCTAAGTTAGCCTAAATGTATCACCGATGGGGACAGGATCACGTGAATAGACTATCAGTGTGGTTATGGATGTGCCGGGTTTTAAGTCAAACGACCCCGTGTGTGTGTGTGTGTGTGTGTGTCTTTGGGGTCTAACGACTGAGCTGATCACAGCCGAAGTTACCAGACAGAGACGAGTAGCTAGCTAGCTGCTCTCAAAACATCCACTGACCTTCTCTGTAATAGCAGCGAACACGAGTAACTAATCATTGAAGGCTTGCAGTTTAATACTACGGGCATATATTTCTTCAATGTAAGCTTTAGTCGCGCCACAGCCAATGCCTGGGTTTGTGTTTATTTTGGTTACCTACCATTTTCACACCCGCTGTTTGACCAGTATGGTAGTCCGACTGTCGCTCATTCTGCGCCTGCGCGGAAGTAGTCTAGCAGCTATTGTAGGTTCCAGCCATCCATGGTTTTAGAAGAAAGATGAGGCATTACAGTAACTGCTGTTATTTAGCTTTTGATAATTATTTGCCAAAATTAATCTTTGTGCTTGTGTGTGTGTGAGAGAGAGAGAGTGAGGTTTTTACAGTTATAGGCTACAATGCACACCACAGGAAAACTCCCCAAAACACCTTCATCCCTCACTCCTACAAACACTCTCTGACTGCTAAAATCCAAACACGTTAACACACTTCATCTGTAATAGGTACTCTCTTCACTGCACATAACGTGTCCTAATAACATGACACACAATGAACACAATAGGATCAAGAGGTCGATATCATCAAAAAGTGGAAGTGGATCCCCCTCAGACACACAACAAATCACTAAAGCATTGTGGGTATCCAGGGGCCCCACACTTTCAGATTTTCTGTGTCAACTGGCTCATGCTAATGCACAATATCAACTGGCATGATAAAGGCCTGAAGATGGGTCTACTATGTCAAGTAATCTTGAGGCCCTGCCTTGAAGTGGGTCCCTGTGTCAAATCTAGTATTGGGACCTTTTTTGTTTTAGATTTGTACTAATATGATGCATATTCCTAAATGAATGTGTTTAATCAAATGAACACACACAGTGTATCTAGGGCAAGGCAGTATTAAGGCATACAACAAGTGTACTATTTACACAGAGTATAAAGGACAGGGGGTTAATGGGGACCCAGCTGCCCAGTAATTGTCCCCTTCACTGTAGAGTGATATTTGTTGAACAATGAGGATTTTGAGTCCCCATGTAACAAGCGAAAAAAATATTGACACTGTCTGTTGGGTGGACTCTGGCTCAGCTGAGTTTTATCTCATGAGAAAATGAATACACCCTTCAACAAATGTGAAGGGTGTATAGATAACTGATAACGTATCTGTGGATGTCAGTCTTCCTTTTTGTTGTTGTTTTACAGTGAAGACGCACTGTAAAAGTCAAGTAGCTGATTTGGGGACACTAACTTCAGAGTTGGTCACAGGATGCAGCATCAAGTTACATTTATGTAGAGGGAAAACTCTTGTCATTCATATTAGCTGTAAAACACATTCATGGGCATTACACTAATCATACTCAGGAAATTGTATTTTGTTATACTGAGAGGTGTTTTTAATATTTAGTCTACCCTCAAATAGAAAAAAACTCTATACAATTCAACATCCCCAAAAATACATCATACAATATTATAGTTGAATCAAAACCTCACAACAAAACAAAACTGAACGCTATAAAGTAGAATTTGTTTTAGGGCTGTTGTATTAGACTGCATTAGTTTTAATGTATAAGGTTCAACTTTTGTTGTTTTTGCTGTTTTAGAGAGGTGTTTATTCAAATTCATGGAGGATTTTTTTGGAGGATGACGTCTTGTTGTTTTGGTGAACTGTATTGCATGACACAGAGGTGATTATGTCCAGCCCACTTGTATGAATGAGGGTTGAGTAAAATAATAGAAACACTTCTCAGTATAAGGCTATACAGTTCAACAGCACCATAACAGTATAACCTTCATGAAGGTAACATTTTTTACTTCAATTACAGTTGTTTACTTTCAATTGTATGGTAATTACAATTAATTTACTAGTAACTACAACGAATGAGATCTGACCAAAAGTACGAAAACAGAATATTCAAAACTTGTCGAGTCGAATATGACAGTTGGGAAGAGGGTGGTTGATCACCTGTTTGGGCGGGGAAGAGGTTATGTGGAGCAGTGAATCATTTGGATCATTTAGGGTTGATTGATGGATCTGACACACAGTTCGGTAATGGAGTGTTTGGTGCAGAGAGTTCCACACAAGTGTATCATTTTTTTTTGTTTTGAAAGGATCTTTGACCCTTGAGACTTTCTTAGATTTTTGTCTGCATCAGATAGTTGAGATGGACAGCAATTCACACAACATCAGATTGTCACCGCTTGTGACTGAACTCTGCCTTCCAGCTCACATTTGATGTTGACTATAATAAACTATGACTGCTGCCAGATGGTCACAATGGTAGATGTGGGTGATTGTTTTTTTGTACTATGCTGCAGGAATATTCTCAGACCTCTATATTGACTGCATAGCTGGATTTGTGAGTTTTGTTATGATACACACTACAGAGTTAACAAGGTGGGTGTTCAGTGCAGTCTTTAGAGAAACAGGGTTGATGAGAAGTTCAGGAGTAACATGCATCCTCATACTCCTGTACAGCAGATGGCGGTATATGTATATTTGAAGCTGGTTTGTATCCACCAGAAGTAGGTTGTGGGCATGAACTACACCGACTGCTCTGCTTTCGTCTCATCGATGCTGTCCAATCAGACGTCGCTAAAGCGAGACACCGCCAAGATCAGATTGTGAGACTTGCTGCTGTAGCACGGCTAACAGAGAGAGGACAGAAAGGGCTAACAAACAATTTGCTAACTTGTGAAGTGCACCGGTAAGAAGTATTTATCGACTTGTGGCTCGCTACCCAGCGGCCGCAAAAGAAAGTTATTGATGTTAAATGTCTGCTTTATCTGTTATTGTGTTTTTAAAAGCCTTTTAAAGTATACTGCCAACAGACACAAAGCTAACATAGTAAAAGTGCAGGTGATTCTGGCAGTGTTGTGGATGACAGCTGTGGGTTAGCTCGCCCGCTAGCTACAAGCTAGGGGATCGACAGTTGGCTAACAAAGCACCGGTAGCTAGCCTTGTCTTTACGAACGCAATCGCGATTTAGCTCGTTGCTAAAATACTCCGCAGACGTTGCTAACTAGCACAATACTAGTCGTCACTGTACTTTACGCTTTCATTTTAGCTCATCCTCTGGCAAGTCGCGAATTTATCGTAACATCAGTAGCAGGATTCGGTTAGTTTAACGTAACGACTCACGGTAGTTGTGATGAATTGGTTACCAGACTTTAGTCGTCTGTGATTATTAAAAGGTAACTTTAAAAATAATAAAGTTAACGTGAACGTCTGTGTCCTGAAACATCACAAAAACAAACGTTTAAAACGCTCACACCAGTATATTAAGTTAGCCAAAGTTGTTCATCTTAAACTCGATATTTTATTCACAGTAAAAAATAATCGGCCTAGGTTTATAGTTTAATACATTTTAAATTCAAATAAATATTTCTGAATCAACTTCGGGACAAGCTCACTGTTAATGTTAGTTTCTGTATCTGACAATAAGAGACCCAAGACTGTCAATAAACCACGATTAAACATCAATAATCTAATCCCCGCAAAGTAATGTATATCAGAAGTTGTGGCGGAATATTTTGGGTTTACGTTTTAAATGTTTTATTACATTTACAGTCGGAATTAAACACATCTTGCCTCTCTTTAATTTGTTCAGTGGTTCGTCTTTCTTCAGATGAAAACGATCACTTTTTGATACAGCTCCATTACTGGACCAAAGAGGCTAAACCTGGCTTTGCTAACTGTATAACGGCAACATACAGAAAGTTAAAGAAAATAATAAACTCAGGGGTGAAACACTCCTCATTAATACATATTTTTGTGTGTGTAATTAAGCACAGAATGATCACAAAGTAGTTCGACATTGCTTCGTTAGTTTCCTGTTTGGAAGGATTTAGACCTCCTCTTCCTCCATTCTGAAATGCCAACAACAACAGCCGTCGAAGAAACAGGAGAGTGCACTCGTAAGTGCACACAATCATTATATTAACTTCGCTCACCGTGCGAAATGCTCACACGTCTCTTAAATGTTAGCCCACAGTCAACTTCCTCTATAATCTGCTGCACGGAACCGAAATAATCGCTAAATTGTACGTGAATCCTTTCAGAAACGTGCACGAGCTAACTAGCTAGCTAACGCCAGCAGGCTGATTCCACCGCTAACTGGTAGCAGTCACAGTTAGCTAGCTGCATTCAAAAGAAGATTGTTCATTGCTATCCTTGTATGGAATGAATGATGTTTCTACCGCATGCAGCAGTGATATCTGTAACCATGTGGTGCTTTTACTTTAGTCACATTGTTAGTTTAGCGCTGGTGTTAGCTAAAGTTAGCACGGTTGCGTGACCTGTAGCAGAAGTTCTCCGATGCCTCTCCTCCGGACGTGCTCGGTACCTGAAGTAGGCCTTGTGCACACTTAGCGTAGTAAAAGTTGTGAGCATCAATGGGTGGTCTAATGTGCTTTTCTGCATACATAGTGTATCCAAAAAAATCCCTCAAAGGTTCATGCAATCGAGATTGTTCGGAAATATGAACATTTTCCGCCAATTTCTGTCCTGTAAGAACAATACCGGGTAACTCTAAGCTAACGTTGGTGCTGTAGCTTTGTACAGTGCTGGAAGCAAGCAGTCCAAATGGGCCTCAACATGGACTTAAAGACAAAAGAAATATTGAAAACTATTCAGTAATATGGAAAATATTATGGTAACATACCATTAACATTTAGTCTGCCTTCTTTCTGTCCTCAGGGGTCTGAAAAGTGACAAACAGAAGAACATTTTCTTTTTTAACCTGAAGCTCAACTCCTCGGGTCCTTTGGGATCATGGCTAAAGATGTAAGTAACTACATTTTATTAATTTACTGGAAAACAGTTTTGTTTATGTGCCACCTTGTAGGCACTGTAGCTGATGCTAGATGGTCCATGTGTTAAGATGCTATAAATGAAGAGGTACCCCGTAACCTCACATATCCTCTCCTGGACTCGTGCAGTGTCTTTATTGTTGTGTCTTAAGTCTTTGTCCTTTGCAGGTTGGTCTGATAGAAACAAACGGGGAGCTGAAGGTTTTCATCGATCAGAATCTGAGCCCAAGCAAAGGTATTTCTTACTAGTAATTCCCTTTTTAATACAGCAGTTGCACGCAGTGAACATTATTCCCTTTACATTAATGTTAGTGTCCTGACTGTCACTTTAACCACTAATATCTTAATGGTGCAAAAATAAAGTCTCAACGTACCTGTCTAACTGAATATATCG